CGTGTTCGCTGACGTGCATACACACAACACGCCCGCAAGCACGCCAAGCTGAGGGACGGAAAGGAAGGGAGCGGAAGGGATGGACGGAGGTCGTCCCGCAGGGAACTCTGGACGGTCGAGTGAGGCGAGGTTCGATGGGAGGCTGAGGAGGAGGGAGTGGGAGGAGAGTGGTATGGTGTTTTTCTGTTTTTCTTGAAAGGGAGGTTCGAGGGATGAGAGAGAGCCACGAGCACAGAGAGACAGAGAAGAGACAGAGACACGGCCCTCGAGAGAAAGAGAGAGAGAGAGAGAGAAAGAGAGAGGAGAGAGAGGCGAGAGAAAGAGAGAGAGAGAGAGAGAGAGAGAGCGAGAGAGAAAGAGAGAGAGCGAGAAGTGGAGAGAAAGCCCACCGCATGTATCCAGATAACGAAGTCCTCTTCTGTCAGTCGTCGTCTTCCTTTCTTTCCCCTTCCTTCCTTCCTTCTTCCTTGCCCTTCTTCCTTCCTTCTTCCTTGCCTTCCTTCTTTGAGCACAGTGCTCTCTATCTGTCACACGGACACAACCCGCTTGTAGGGAACCACACAATGACACACACACACACACACACACACACACACACACACATGTATACGGTGACACCACAGCCACCTCCGCCACCACCAGCAGCAGTAGTAGAGAATCTACACTAACATCTCATCTTCTTCTTCTCCTTCTTCCTCTCTTTCTGGAGTCACGCTCGCTGCGGCACACTCACGTACACTACTTCTTATCTCTACTGCTCGCTGAGTTATGCTGCTAGAACCAGTGCTGCTGCTGCTGCTGCTACTACTAGGTACTACCATCAGCTGTGCCTCCATGCACCCCACTGGATGCTTGACTGACTGTCAGGAGCGCCGACAGGGCGCGTTCGTAACTTACTCCCCCTCCCAGTGGGGAGCAGGTGGGTGGGCACCGACGGGGGTGGGGGACAGAGCGAATGGATGTGCGTATATAGAGAGAGATTAGATGAGATGAGAGAGCGGTCAACGGAGAGAGAGAGGGGTAGCCCGGGTGGGAGAAGATGAAGATGGGATGAGAAAACGAGAAGTGGAGAAAGAGAGAGAAAGAGATGATGAAAGACACGCGCGTGGCGAGAGAGGGGAGAGAAAAGGCGAAAGAGGGGGAGACGCATAGAAGAGCCATCGTTATATATATATTCTATTAGTGCTGCTACTGCTGCTGCTGCTACTGCTGCTGTTGTTACTGATGCTGCTGTTACTGCTGCTGTTTCTGTTGTTGTTGTTGCTGCTGTTGTTACCGCTACTACTACTGCTGTTGCTGTTGTTTTTGTTTGTCTTGCTGCTGCTGTTGCAGCTGCTACTACTACTACTGCTTTTGGTGTTGTTTTTGTTGTTGTTGCTGCTGCTGTTACTACTACTACTACTAATGTTGTTGCTGTTGTTGTTGTTGTTGCTGCTGCTGCTGCTGCTACAACTACTGTTGCCTGCTCTCTGATGACTATGAATGTCATTGCTCGTCTGTCCTCTACCGAGCGGAGGAGCACCAGCAGCCGACCAATCAGGGGCTTCCTAGCAACTGACCAATCAAGGGCATCCTAGCAACCAACCAATTAGTAGCCTCGTTACAGCCAGCCAATCAGGGGCCCCGTAGCAACCGGCCAATCAGGAGCCTCGTATCAGCCGACCAATCAGGGGTCTCGTAGCAGCCGAGCAATCAGGAGCCTCCTAGCAACCGGCCAATCAGGGGCTTTCTAGCAACCGACCAATCAGGGGCCTCGTAGCAGCTGACCAATTAGGGGCCTCGTAGCAGCCGACTAATCAGGGGCCTCGTAGCAGCCGACCAATTAGGGGCCTCCTAGCAACCGACCAATCAGGGGCATCATAGCAGCCGACCAATCAGGGGCCTCCTAGCAACCGACCAATCAGGGGCCTCGTAGCAGCCAGCCAATCAAGAGCCTCGTAGCAGCCAACCAATCAGGGGCTCGTAGCAGCCAACCAATCAGGGGCCTCGTTGCAGCCGACCAATCAGGGGCCTCGCAGCAACCGACCGCGTCTACTACCAATGCTTGCCGCACGCACCCACTTACGCACACTTAGACACACACATATATACACTCACGCGCACAGGCACTCCTAAATGTCAAATGTCAAAGGTCAAATGTCAAATGCCATATGTCAAATGTCAAGGCTCCTTATCTCTTACCCCTACCTCTACCGCTAGCCCTGACCCTGAACCTAACCCTGACCCTAGCTTAGCGGGCGACTGCCACTTTCCGCTGACCACCTGTCCAACGCCACTTGATATAGATATAAAAGTATAATTTTACACGTTAATGTGATCAATATACTTCAACAGCGCCTGGCAGGCATAAATTTTCGATAGCTCACACACATACACTAAGACACAAACACAAATACACACGCGCGCTCTCCGCACCCCCTTCCCCCCATAGAGAGAGAGAGAGAGAAAAAGAGAGAGCGAGAAAGAGAGAGCGAGAGAGAGTGAGAGACACAGGCACGCGCATAGATATACCAATATATAATAGTCAAATATATTATGTCACAGACGATAACCGGGTTTTTCACGAATACGGCTGGACTCCTGGTAGCACTCCATCGGACTATTCCTATTTTACATACTTACACACATCGATATTCTCGGTGATACTGTAGATTTCACACCAGGTGGTATTTCACAGGCTTGCAAAACTTGCAAAATAACCGAGCCTGTGGGCGAACTAACTTCATGATACATTACTTACCTTGGTTGAATGTACACATTGACTGAAAGTCTTCCCTGATTTGAAGTCCACTCTGGCTGAATGTTAAGCGCCACTGCATTTCTGGCGTTGTTGTACCTTAACGCTAATTTAACGCCTGGCGTTGATGTTTGTACATCCTACAAAGAAGCTAACACCAAACAATTAACGCGTCTCGTCGTCACCTCGAAGGTTGCAATAACAACAAACACCTAGACGCGCAAAGATGTCTATATCGTTACGCAACCCACGTCGGTCCACACACACACACACACACACACACACACACACATCACACAAATCGCAACTCACACACACACACACACACTGACCTCGAATGGAACGCAAAACGACATGCACACACACGCTACGAAACATTCGTACACATGCAAGAGCGATTAAATATTAAGATAATATAATAAATAAAAAACAAATTCAATATATGTGTGTTTAATTAAGCGAGCTCCGAAGATCACGCCGCGCGCCACCGCTCACACCTACACGCGATAATAACTTTGTGTGGGGCGCTGCGTAGGTAGTTGGCAGTGAGATACAAGCTATACTGTTGATGTTATACCACCGCTGACCAAATAGGTACACGCCCGCCCCTTGTCAATTACATGAAAAACAATACCGTGAGTCCGTGAGTGTGTGACATGTGTGCCGGGGGGGGTGTGTGGGTGGGTGTGTGATGTATGGGGGGGGTGGGTGTTGTTTGTTGGTGTGGTGCGCGCGCGCGGGTGCGGCGCGCCCGGTGGTGCGCGCGCATGCGGGTGGGGTGTGGTGGTGAGTGGTGTGTGGAGTGTGCGGGGCGTAGCGTGCGTGCGCGTGTTTGTATAAGTAAATGCGAGGCGTTATCTATAATCGTCTTTGCCAAGAGCGATCATTCTATTATTCCCTATAGATGGCGCTGTGACACCGCAATCAACCGCACCTGTCCTTGCTAAAATGCCATTGACATTGCTACAATATTATTATCAAGAGCGTATTGACTATATAGTTAATACGTACACACTTAGTACGCTCTTGTTATTATGTATATTGAAGTAGTGTATAATGCGGTGATGGCAACATGCATTACCATTTCGCCATTTCGCCACCTATAAACAATCAATTTGCCCGCAAAGATCCTGTCCTTTAATTGTGCCTGTCATCATGGTCACTATCAAACTGCATGCAGTGGCCCCTTCCCACACTCAGGATAATACTCAGGTAGAATTGAGCCAGAGCGAGAGCGCCATCTGTCGTGGAGTTTGGGTCACTATAGGAGATGTACAACAGTAAGCCTCCGCAAATTGTTCACCGCACTATTTCGTCTCTAGAAAAGACCTTTTTTGGAATTTTTTTTCGCCGAAATTCGGCACTAGAGTGCAATAATTTGTATTATGTACGCAAGGTAGATGCCTCGTGGACGTCTAGGAAGCATTAGAAGTAAAATTATTCGTGTTGTGTAATTGTGCCATTCCAGCTAGTGGCGTAGCCATGGTCGCCGGTCGGGCATTTTTGCACCCGGCAGTTAGATGCGATATTATATGACTACTAGGCACTTAGGATATGACTACTAGGCACTTAAAAAAAAAAAAACCCTAACCCTAACCCTAACCTAACCTAAACCCTAAACCTAACCTAAACCCTAACCCTAACCCTAAAAAAAAAAAAAATTAAATTAAATTAAAGTGCCTAGTAGTCATATAATATCGCATCTAACTGCCGTTTGCGGCATTTTTGTGTATGAAACGGGATCCGACTACTCTGTAGAAATTCGCATCATAGAGCTGGAAAAAGTGTCGAGCGGAGCATAGAGCACAAATCTGTAGTTATTCAACATGAATAAAGTGTATGTTTTGTAAGCGCAGTAACAGTGTGCGTATTTTTAATTAATTTCTGTTCGATGCTTATTTAGGCCTGCAGCCGATGGACGCCTTCTACTGTCGTTCAACACCTATAACGAGCGAGCTGCGGATCACAAAGATGTGCGCTGACGAAGGCACGGTGAATTGTTAATCAAGTAATCGTTCGATTAACTACCGTAGCTTCTACTGTTGTATTTGTTACCGTGACACTTCCTCCAATACTGCGTTGAGGACGGGTTCACGATGTGCAGACTATTGTTCCTGAGTCGTTTACCGGCGAATTGATCGTCTGCGGAGACCGTGGGAAACCGACGATAAGGGGCCGTCTATAAATGTTGGCGGCTGTATGGGTCCATCTATAAATCTTGGCGGTTGTTTGGGGTCGTCTATGAATGCTGGCAGCTGTATGTGTGTTTGGTGTCCGTACGGAGGCGTGTGCGCACAGTTAGTGCGACAGTTTTTTTTATCGCTGACATGATATCAATTAAATAGCCTCCTATTACGCGTAAGTAGGAAATCGTGATACTATGGTTTAATGAACTGCTGATAGACGGACAATTGTACGTGTTGTTACTTTGAGTTCTGAACGTATCGGTGCCGTGCATGGACGTTATGACGTTAGTACTTGGTCTGGACGAGAATGGACCGTCGCTTCGTGTGCAGCCGAGTACGTGTGCACGCATTGTGTTTTTGTTACGTTTACGAGGCTAGGCGTTGGTTCAATATACCGCAACTTCACATACTTCAACATACGAGTCAACAGTGCTGCACGCGGTGACCGCTCGATGAGTTTAATAATCGTGCAGTTCGTTCACGGTGTCGAACAACTCCATACGTCGCGGATTAATAACACAGCCTTCACCGCCGGTAAGTATATAGGCCTACTATATATATTGGATATAGTCAATCTATCTATCATCTAGCTCACATATGTACATATGTAAGATGTACATATGTACATATGTACATATGCGATACACGTGTATCGCACTGGCACTTGGAATGTTGCAATAAATAAATGATATAGTAAATAAACACGAAATGTGTTTACTACCAAAGTCTTAATGTTTACGTATTCTCTATCGACTAATTCCAGGTAAATCCCATTGAAAGGACATATTTTGCAACACGCAGTCTCACCGCACGCACGCCGCCGTGAACAAACAATAAAAATATAGAGACTATATATATATACATATATATATATATCAAGAGCTAATAATACCGTGTAATAAGAATGCGTGTGGTTCAAGCTCCCTCCACTGCAGCCCACAATTTCACCGTACGCACACAGTACGTCATGTTCTCATTATACTTGTTGTTTGTGCACAGCGCGGCGTGCCTGGGGTGTAATTGTGTGTTGCAGAGGAGCATTTGAAGGGCATCGGCATTGAAGTTCGGTATCGGCAATAATAAGTTATGATATATGACTTAGATGAATGTATGAGTAGAGAATGAATACACACCGACGTTGACGTGTACGTGTGTGAACATAGTACGCTTGTGTTTGTATTTCAGGCGTATACAAAAATCCGTTTGTAGGTTTAGCTTCTACCCTCAAGTTGAAATTGCGCCTGTACTTATCTCAGACCGCCTGTGAGAATTGGGGGCACCGTAACGCCCAGCAGCTGTGTGTGAAAAAGGACGCAAACGCCAAGCTCTGGAGAGAGCGAGAGCACACAGAAGGAGCGATGCTGTGAGGCGGAAGGAAATCATATAGCCCCCGCCGTCTGGGACGAGAGAGAAAGAGGTGAGCGAGAGGCAAGAGAGCGAGAGAGAGAGAGAGGCGAGCGAGAGGCAAGAGAGAGAGAGAGAGAGAGAGAGAGAGAGACGCGCGCGCGCGAGAGCAAATCACATAATAACCAGGCTGTGACTAGGGAGATATGTACGTAAACAGCATACGAGATGTGAGTAGAGAAACTACTATATACTCGCTTAGCTGTGTAGAAGGAGAGAGAAGACTTTATACTAGTCTAACTGTGCAAAAGGAAAGAGTGAACGACATACACGAGATAACACTTATAGCAATTGCAACATATAGCTATTGGGCTGCTGGAGAGGAGAGGAGCGGAAAGAAAAGGGATAACACCATAACACTAATCTGCATACATCATCTTAGTAGGCACAGGCACTTGAAGCATATCAACTGTAAGCGCACGGCGCCGCCATTGCGCGTACACTAATACATAGATATATGAGTGTATCTCTTATATCTATGTATTAGTGTACGCGCAATGGCGGCGCCGTGCGCTTACAGTTGATATGCTTCAAGTGCCTGTGTTAGTAGGCACCATCACCACGTAAGCACGAGTTCGCAGCTGTGCACTTTTCTTCCCGCTTGCTTACCGGTCTGTTATAGCTGAGAATTTTACAATTATAATATTTCACTCAAAAACATGTTCAGCGAACGTTTTCTGACCGAGGTCACGTGAGTTGGCTAGACGCAGGTACGGGCATGCATACCTAAGCACAAGCAGACACACGTCAACAAGTAAGGAGAAACTGTAGTTGTTTTACAATGCTCTACATTGCATGCCGCACCAGAGAAGGAAACTTCTTGGGAGAAAAGGAAAGAAATCCGATTCACTGAATTGCTCAACAAACTATCACCCATTAGTATAAATCTTGTTTTTCGCATACCACAATTATGTCATGTCATCAAAAAGTGATTAAATCTATTTTACATATAAAACATATTGATCAATAACATCGCGTTTTAAACAATGACTATAACTGTTGGCTGTGAAACGTCGTGAAGTTCATCCATAGTCACGTGGCAGATATACCATAGGCAAATATTCCTAGTACCACTGTCCACTGGATATTTCTTGACTTGCCATAGATATCGCTCTCAGCATCTGTTACGAGATCTCATGGCTAAAGTAGAGGAGAACTCTGCTGATAACATGAAAGCTGGATTTGGGAAGTGTGGCATTGTTCCCGAAGATAGGAAGAAGGTCATTGATCGCTTGCCAACAGTAGACGATATACGGATACTGGTACCACAACAGTAAACCAAGCTGCAGTAGATGATAACTTCATGGATATTTTCAAAGAAATGCGTTATGATACTGCTAACCCGCAACGAAAACGAAAGAAGAAAGTCAGCTAGTGTAGAAACAGGAAAGAGTGTCACAAGAAAAAACTTGGGCGGGTCTGAAGAAGATGATCCAAACTGCAGACGAACAAGAAATAGACAATGTCAATTAGGGAACGATCAGTGCATGATGAAGACGAAAATAACTATGAGGAAAATGGAAGTGACGATGAGCAAGAAAGTGATGCTGAGCACAGGCACTTGGAGCGTTTCAATAAAATATAATGCTAAATAAATACGAAATCTATTTACTACCAAAGTCTCAATGTGTCTCTACTCTCTTTCGCCTATTATTGCCGACAATTTCCTGTAAATGCCGTGCAAATGCTCCTGATATATATATATATAATTTATATATATATATATATTATATATTATATACTTTTGTCGACCTGTCTTTTGAAAAAAAAACATGCATATTATATGCTACAATAATTATATTCTTGTAAAATGGTACACCCACACGCTCACACGCGGGCATAAATATACACCCACAAAGGCGTGCACGCACACGCGCATGGAAGTACACGCACGCACCGCACGCACGCGCAAACGCGAACACACGCACGCACACGCGTGCGCGAACTCACGCACGCGTAGGTTAAAAGCCGGTTATGTTTCAAACACGAGGCAAAAGGACGTCTAAGATCAGAATCGTTTAATCGCTCTAAGCACACTATCTTTACACAAAAATAACCCGCGGTAAGAGCGCCACAATGTAAACGCTTAACGCAATTCCCGCAGTCAATGTGTGCTCTCATGTAAGATGGTTGTAGCTTAGCTCGTGTTGGCAGCAGAATGAGCGGGTTTCTTCCCATCTGGCTGGAATGCTTGGTATCACGCTGGTTTTATGTTATCGGCGATCCACCCCTTGTCAGAACCTGTTCAAAATTTAACGTGTTTTTTGTGTCTTTTGCCACGGGGGAAATTGGTAATAGAATGTGGTTACGAAGGCGTTCATGGACGTTTGGCTACGCTTACAATCTTATCTCCCCTTCTCTCTCCGCTTCACTCACTCACTTGCTCACTCACCCCCCACCACCTACCCACATACACACACACACACACACACACACACACACACACACACACACACACACACACACACACTCACTCACTTACCCACTCACTCCTTACCACTCACTCACTCACTCACTCACCCCACTCACCCCCTACCACTCACTGCACTCACTCACTCACTCACTCACCTACTCAGCTCACTCCACCACTCACTCACCTCACTCACCTCACTCACTCACTCACTCGCCCTCACTCACGCACTCACGCACTCACTCACTTGCTCACTCACTCCCTCACTCACTCACTCACTCAACCCTCACCCACCCCCACACTCGCTCACTCACTACTCACTCACTCTCACTCATCACTTCCACTCACCGATCAACCCCACCCTCACACATACAAACAGACCCACCATTATACCCACCACCACACACCCACTCCTTCCACCCATCCTAATCACTCATTCGCCGTCTTTTATCCTACAATTCTATATCCGTGTTTTATTCAATCCTGTTTCCCCAGCTTCATTCCACCAAGGTATTACTAGCTCTTGATTTCATCCTGCTCTTACTCTCTCTCTCTCTCTCTCTCTTCCTGTCTTTCTTTCTCTCTCTTTTCCTCCTCTCGTTCGCCCCCCCCCCTTCCCCCTTTCCCTGCTCTCTCCCCATCTATCATCGTCCCATTCTCCGTCTTTGCGTCTCTCTTTCTCTCATTCAATCTCTCTCTCGTTCTCCCACTTTCCGTCCTGCTACTTTCTCCCCTTCTCATCATTCCCTCTCTTCATTCCCTTCCTGTTTCAACCCTCGCTCTGTTGCATGGTGGGACGCCGAGAAGTTGACTGTTCGACGTAGCGAAGAGGAACATAGGTCGGTACATGTAGTGATTGCCGGACAACCGGGTGATGTTTGAGCTTGCTGTTCAACTCTTGCCATGCCGGTCGCATCTGTTACTTTAGACGTGAACTCATATGTGTTACATATGAGCTGACAGAGCCCTCACAGAATATATCACAATAAAACTACGAGAATCTCTATATACGTTACCAGCAATCTATAATGCTTTCCAAGCCTTGTCACATCAGCGTATCCGTCAACGTCTTTGCTTTCTTGCTTTCGGCTCTGCATCACAGTGTGAGTTCTCCGTCTCTAATCCTTCATCAGCGGATATAATGAAGGTCCACGTTCTCTCTCTCTCACTCTCAGACTTTTCTTTCTCTCTCTTTCCTTTTCTCTCTATCGCATTCGTTCTCTCTCTCTCTACGAAAGTATTGTAGCCTTGCACACCATCAAGTGGGGAAATATGGAAGCCCTTTTATTCATTCCACTCAAAACTGTGCTGTTTTCATTCACCGTACTGCGCATGTGCTACATCGAGTTTTCTGTTCACGGACGTATTGTTTCAATTTTAGTTTGTATTGTGTTTTTTATTCAACTGTAGGTTGATAAAGGTTTCTTTGAATTCTTGTTTTCTCTTGAAAAAAGGTTTCCATTTTACTGTTGGTCTTTTCTGTTTTTTTTATCTCAGATTAAGTTGTTTTTATTTACAGAAGCACTGCACATTGTATATAGTACGCTTTTTATTTTACACAAGTTTTCTGTTTGAGGATTTCTTGTTATTTTTCACGGAGGACAGTGCATATGTTCTATAGCGAACTTTTTATTTTACTCTTCATGTTTTCTGTTCGTGGAGGTATTATTCTCATATAAAAAATAAAATTTTGGTAGCTATGGTCCGTGCCACCAGCTTCAGATAGGCACGAGATAATATTGACACTCGTAAGCGCTGTATTGTAGTTTAAGCAGTCTTGGCCAGGGCCCGCTCACACTATGACAACACCCACACATGCTCTCACACACTCTCACAACAACAGCTCGCCACCGGGTGTGGACTTTACCCTGCACCGGCCACGCGCATGGCATCGTCGTCACACCGAGCATCTCTAACTGCGGTACTTGCGACGTCTGACCTTCATTATTATACACGCAACAGAAGCTGTGCGCCTTACACAACCGAGGCGAATTGTTATTTCTTCGATGGCAGCTCGTATCATGTTGCTGTCACAGCAGCAGCGTGTTTCATGGCACTGTCATAGCTGTAGTTTGTATCATGGTGCTGTCACACCGGTAGCACGTATTATGGCGCTGTCACTCGCTGTCACAGCAGCAGCGTGTTTCATGGCACTGTCATAGCTGTAGTTTGTATCATGGTGCTGTCACACCGGTAGCACGTATTATGGCGCTGTCATACCAGCAGCGTGTTTCATGTCACTGCCATAGCTGCAGCGTGTACCATATCGCTGTCATAGTGGCAGCCTGTGTCATGGTACTGTCATAGCTACAGGGGTATCGTGACACTATTACAGTAGCAGCTTGTATCATGGCACTGTCTTAGTAGCAGGTTGTATCATGGTACTACCATAGCAGCAGCCTGTATCACAGTGCTGTCATGGCTGCAGCTTGTATCATTGTACTGTCATAGCTGCAGCTTAATTGTAACATGTCGCTGTCATAGCAGTAGCATGTATCATGGTACTGTCATAGCAGCAGCTTGTAACATGTCGCTGTCATAGCATCAGCTGGTATTATGGCACTGCTACAGCAGCCGTACATATCATGTCGCTGTCATAGCAG